GCTGCTAACCGTTCCTCTTTCCGTTCGACTGCCCTCCGATGATCTTCCGTCTCCCTTGACGCCAGATACCCGACATCCGCTCGCGGATCGCGCGCTAGAAGCGACGCGCGTCCCTTAAGAATCGCGATAGCGGATCGCGCGCTAGAAGGGGCGCGAGAGATCGCCGTCGCCCCCCTAAGGAACGAGTCGCGTCAAGGTCGAGTCGCGCCAAGGTCGAGTCGCGCCGGGAAAAAGCGCGACCCTCGATCGAGCCGAGCGCCATCTCCCGGGCAATCTTGCCGACTCGTATCCGCTCCCTCCCGTGACGTCACGCGCTCCCCCGATCCCCCACCCTCTCGCCCCGCTTTTCCCCACGGCCGCGCTTCCCGTCTCGCCCTACGTACCCCCCCTGCTTTTCCTCCTGCCCGAATTTCCCCCCGCGGTCAACACTCTATCTCTTTCTAATTAATCTCTTACAGTCTCTGTTTTACTAATGTTACTTATACCTGTAGCTGCATATGATGCATGACAAATAACTATATAATGACAATCATTTGACAAATATATTTGAATACACTGTATTCCTTTTTACATCTTTTGCTTTTGATATATAATCAGGAGACAAGACAGATTAGTCAGATAATTTATAGCATAGCACAAGCATATAGTAATATATTTTAATTTTGATTATAGTAATTTTTTTTAAAAGAACGAACATTTATCACTTTTATAAAAGTACTTGATTTGTTTAATCTGTCTCGTAGATATGTAGCATACACATCATTTTTACACTAATCGTTTGTGCTATGTATATCTGACTAGCCTGTCTCGTAGATATGTAGAATACATACATCATAACTTATATTATAATTTATATATTATAACCCATATTATAACTTTATACATAGGGTGTATCTGAAATGATGCACTAAACTTTAGGAGCGTATTCTAGAGGTCAAAATAAGACTTTTTTTTCTTATGAACATGGGTCCGCAAATGAACCCCCCTCCGAGCTAAAATTCGAAAATGTGTGAAATACGTTTTTATTTTTTCATTTTAGTGGCTTACTTTACTTCATAATTTACTGGGCTATACCAAATTTCAACCTTGTGCCATTTTTTTTCTGAAATACAGCCAATTTTTAATTTTTTCCCCAAACTTTAGGGGCCTCTAGCTCGGAGGAGAGTTCATTTGCGGGCCCATATTCATGGGAAAAAAAGTCTTATTTTGACCTCTAGAATATGCTCCTAAAGTTTAGTGCATCATTTCAGATACACCCTGTATATTTTGTATCATAATAATCTATATATAGATTATATGTATATCCAATTATCATTAGACAAAAATTTTTAATAGTATATCTTTTAATAATTCTAAATTTGACTTTCTTAAGGCCCCTGCTCCTAACTGCAGCCATATTGTTTCATCAATTATGTCAGAAAAAAATCATGTAAATGTTTTCCTTGTATATGCCAAAATAAATTAATTTCTTTTACATATTATTCTTATAGACTAAATCATAAAATATACCAATGATTCTTTTTACTTTGTGAATTAATAATTGTTTGTAATCTAGATTAACTGTAATTTATATGTTCATTTACCAAAAAATTGCATGAAAATGGAATTTTTGTGATATATTTTACAAATCAATACGCAAAAAAAGATTAATTTATTTTGATATATAGTATAAAATAGTATATATTTTCATTTTCAAATATCAAAAGGATGGATGGCGATAAGGGCTTCAATAAGCCTCAGTTATTTTTATTATAAATTGATAAAGTATTACTAATAGCATTAAAAAATGTATAATTTGTATTAAAATAGTTTTTTTTTATTTATAGCAACAAAAACATGATTTAAGCATTTTCTGTCTTTCAATTCTGTCTTTAATTACTTAAACAAAACTATACTAGTGAAATATTGTTGATACATCAATAAAAGAAATAAATCTCTTCAAATAAAACAAAAAACAGACCGTATCTTGTACTATAAGTGTGGGATAGATTTTGTTTAAATTTATTTTTTATTACTCGCGCATTGCAGTACTAATATCAATTTTATGTATGTTGTGTCTTATGTAGACCTACATATGAAAAAATGGCAATGGAATGTTAAAAAAATATGATTTTTCAAGATTTTTGACTGTCAGACCTAAGTTCAAGGTGTATTTTAATTTTAAATTAATGGATGGTACTAAAATAAAAAAATATTCTTGTATTTCCTAAGACTCCATATCTTCCATATTTATTAAGATATGAAAGAAAATCAATTCCGCATATTTAAAAAAAGCGATATTTTAAGGCCGATTTGGGACCTTATCACCATTTATCCTTTAACATCATTACAATGACAAATCATAAATCTTAAGCAAGAATTGTATAAAAAATTGCTATTTTAATTTAGCAATCTTAATTAACATTAAATGTTTTAGTAATTAAATAAATGGTTTTGACAGCTCCAATAAAATTTTTAGTATATTTAAATAAAATTTGTATTTTTTAACATAAATTTAACTATTAAAATAACAAATGCATGTTATTTGATAGATTAATCGCCGATTAAGTTAATTGAATTTTGGCCAAAATGATTCTTGTAATAATAATGTACAATTATTTTAGTATTGTTATTAACTAAAATTTAACTTAATTATAACCGGATATCAAGACTTTGATTATTTATACACATTATATAAATTTTTAATATATTTAATTTATCATTAATATTTCATTCAATGATGATGGAACGTCCCACATAGTTATATTTTCTTATTTTCAAGAAAGTATTGCATTAACCAATCTTATGAAAAATAACAAATTATTGTAACTAATAAAATTATCGTAATCAATAAAAAACTTTCACAATAATTATTTTCGAAATAACATCGTAGTAATACCTATAAAAATATTATTTCTATTATTTCCTCATTTAAAATAGAAATATATAAAGATAAATAAATTAAGTATCTTTAAAATTGTAAATACTAAATTCATAAATATATTGTATATAATGTATAATAAGTATTATAATATGTAAAAGTCTCACATATATACAGAGTGTAGATACACCAAAAGTCTAGATACACTTTAATAACTTTAGAACGCATAGAGAGTTGAAATTTTGGAAAATTTTATAAGATCATGAAAACTATCTCTTAACTAAAGTGGAGCCAACTCTCAATCTCTATGGAATAAGAAGATGAGAGTGGCTTAAAAATCTTAAATGGCATGAGAGATCGAGTAAGTACTCATTTGAAAGTTTAAAGATGAGAAAATTGACCTTTGAAAGAGTTCGTTTCCAATCCAAAGTTATAGTGATGTAAACAAAAATTACCGTTCTTTGCGTTACTCAGAATCTATGGCGAAAATGTAATAGATATCAGATCCTGTGTATATTTGTGTCTTTGTGTGGTCAAGTCAAATTTCACCTATTCAAAATTAATTTTGTTTAGGAACAAATCACAGATAATTTCGATCATCGAATAGAATTTTATGACATTATATGATAAAAAATTAATAATCATCTCGAATTTATTAATTAAATTTATTTTTTATACGAGGCCACGTTTATGTTAGACAACACAGTAAACAGAATTATTGATATTGGAGGGGTTCCGTAATCTACATTGAATCAGAGAATCAAAAACCCAATATCTACACCCCTTTACTCCATACAGGTTAGAGATTGGCGCAACCCTGGTCAAACGATAGTTTTTATGATCCCATAAAATCCCTCAAAATTTCAAAGTTCAAATTTCATTTTTTCCAGATAGCCAAGTTTGTCCAAAATAGATCATACCAAGTATCTGCTATAAACTGTTGTCAGCAAAAAGATTATAAATTTGGTACAGTTTTTATTATCGATTAAATGGACAAATTGGTGCCAAAAATCGAGCAGGATCTGCTAAAATGACTTGACATCAAATTGTCAGCAGAAACTGTGCAGCATCTGCAGCTTATTACAAAATATTACAAAATTAACTATTATTTGAAATAATATAATTCGCTTACCGCTATGCGGCGCGTTATTCATTATTTATACCCGTATTCGTTTTTGTCATGAGCATATATAAAGCTTGCACAATGCGGCTAATAACATTGTAACATCTATGTTTATCAGTTTAATTTTTGATACGATTTCCATACAGGGAATTCAGATATTAAACTGATTTTTGGAAAATCGGACAGATAAATGTCCGATTTTCATTTATTTGGACAATTTATATCCGAATAAGTAAAAATTGTTCGTTATTATTTACTTATTTAAGATATAAAATAGAAATTAACTTTTCCATATAATTATATATTGTATATATATTATTATTACATTGTATATATATTATTATATATTGTTTATACATATTAATATTATAATTGATTTTATTTTTGCTATCAAATAAACGTCAGAAAATGACGTCCCGTAGATGTGATATATCGACGTTATTTCCGGGTCTCATGAGACCTAACTTAGAACGTCTAATGGTCATTTTGTGACTAAAATTTACTGTCATTGTAACGTCATTTTGTTACTTAAGATCGAGACTTTTTAAATCCTTTTAAATGCACAATTTTATATGAATGACCAAAAGCTGCAGATCTTGTTTGGTTTTTGCCGACAAATAGACATCAAGCCTTTTTAGCAGATCCTGCTCAATTTCTGCCGCCAATCAGATTCTGTGAGCAGGCTCTGCTAGCAAATCATAAGCCTAATACGGACATAACAAATGCCAATCTGCTAGCAACTTCTGAGTAAATGTGTTACCAATCTGCTGGCATATTGCGCGAACTTTCATTATTGAATCTATCTCTGTCCGTTCTAAAGTCATTAAGTTGTCATTGTATCCAGACTTTTGACCTACCCTGCATATTATCTGCAATGGAATATGTTTTATATATATTTTCTCGAAAATATGCAAACATATAGCAAATCATCAGCAACAAAAATCTATGTCCTATAATTTATGTAATGATTTTGGTAAGTATTAATGCTTTTATTTTAATAAAATTACAAATTTGTCTAAATGTTAAATTGAAAATTTTATAAATGCAATTTATTTTAATTCATAAAAATATTATTGTCAATATATAATAACAATATCAATATATAATAAAAGCCATTTAAAGTCACATGAACAAATTCTGATTACTTAATTAATAATTAATTCAACCGATGTAGAATTGTCTTCATTAAAACTTTTAACTACATATATAAATTAATAACATATAAATTCCAAATTTTTTTCAATGCATCAAACAACAAAAATTTAATAATTTTATCTATATTATCAAAATCATATTAACAAAATGCATGTATTATTTGATAAATTAATCATCAATTAAGTTAATTGAATTTAAGCTAAAATGATTCTTATAATATTTCACAATATCAAATTATTTTGGTATATAAATTTATTATACATATATTTTAATATATTAATATAAAAAGATATAATTGTGTGTATCAAACTTACCATGCCACTGTGCTCTTGCATATCCTCTAACGATTTGCTTACTAGCTTTGTTAACATCATCCTGCACATTGATTAAGATATATTTAAATCTTCCATGACCATCGATATCAACATCTAGCACTTCGTCCAATAAATGGGACATTGTAATAAATCGTTGTATATTTATCACACCTGTGTGAGAATAAACATAAAATAAAGAGATATATTTATAACATAACCTAACAAATCAGTTATTTCTATTTATATCTATATATCGCATATTGCATTTATAATATATTTTTGCTACCACCGATTAAAACACAAAGATTGATATATCTCAAATATTTCTATTTCACACACACACAATGTATACTATAATATTATTCATTGTAATTACTATTAAATCCTTTCAAAATAACGCGCCGGGCACTCATCTGCGTTTATCGAAGCGCAGCTCGGAACTCGGAACCTTAAGGTGCCTTTACATGGCAGCGTCAAGCGTCAAGCGTCGAGCGTTAAGCGTCTGCGCAGAATATTGTTGCCCAGAATTAAATTTCATTTATTTTATTATATAACAGATGTGTGTGTGTGTGTGTGTGTTATTATTAATCAAAGATATATTATGAAACGTTACTACTCTGGCAATGTAAATTAAAATTAAATTAAAATACAAATGCGGCAAAAGATTTTGGATGGTTGAAATATTCAAATAAATAAGACACAAAAAGGGATTCACAAATGACAAAACGACACAGTTTGAAAAACTATTGTTAAAAGTAGGAAATGATTTAAAGGAGCAGTATGTTATAAACATGCAGGAAAAAAAAATGAAAATTATATCCCTTAATCCTTGATTAGATTCTAATATTCTGCTGGGGGATAGTAACGTTTTATACATATTTTGTTTAATAATAATAATATCTATTGTGTAAAATGAAAATACATATCAATTTTCAGTATTAGTAATGTGTATCAGAACATAATTTTTTTTTATCTCGACCGAATTCATATTACTCATCATGCTATTAGCCGCAAGAAACTGGAATCTATTTCATTCAGATTATTGCGCAATGATTTCTGCGCAGACGCTCGATGCTCGATGCTGCCATGTAATGGCACCTTTAGAACATTGCTTGCTTGCTTGGGTTTTGGGATTGGCTCCAGCGAATACTTGCTATACGGCCATAAACTGGTTTAAAGATAGAATAATGTCGTATATATGTAGGTTCCTCTTGGGGGAAGGAAGGAATTTGTGTTAGGGAAGTGGTAGGAAAGGAAAAATAGGAAAGCGCAGGCTAGGGACCTTAGAACATATATAAATGGAAGGGGAATAGCAGGCTGAAAAGTGTCGAAGGAAGTGAGAAAGAAATCGTAGTTGCCTCTCTCTTGTGAGTAACTACACAACAAGCATCGTGTCTGTAGTATACATACTTTTGTGTACACACACATGGCCGCGCATGCGCACTTTTGGGCAAAGTAACTCACAAGAGAGAGGCAACTATGATTTTCTTTCTTACTTTCTTCCGACATGTTTTTCTATTGGGAAACAAAGGCATTCCCCTTCCATTTATATATGTTCTGAGCTCGGAACTCGGAACCCGAAGCATTGGGTGCGTTTGGCATAGAAAGCGCTCAGTTATTGTCTTGTCAACACTCGTCGTTGATTTGTTGGTTCTAAAAGTAAGAGCCAATCACGTTCGATTGCTACTGAGCGGTTTTCTCTGCTAAACGCGCCCATTGTTAAGGTGCCTTTACATGGCACACAGATGTTTATACTAAAGGCATAGACATAGGGTGCGTTCCGTTTCACGCATTGAGCGTGTGACGTCCCGTCATTTTTCAAAACCATATTTTAACAAATAATTAAGTACCGCATCTATTTCTGCATTATGCCTATGGAATATAGAACAATTATTTAACCATTTGCCCTTATTTCTATTATTAAGAGGATGCCGGACCGTCCTGTTTTAATAATTATCAACTTTCAATATTATTCAAAATTTAATTATAACAATATTTTGATAACTTCATAATAACTAGTTAAAAACGAATTATTATAAAACGTTTCCACAAAGAAAGTGTTATTATACTATATCACTACACTATGAATTAATATGCTTGGTAGTAGCTTTAACCATCCCAGCAATAAACCTCGAGTAATATCTTGTGAAAAGGTCTCTTTGTCTCCAGATACTATAAATCGGTTAAAATCTTCTCATAAACCTCAAAAAGATAGTCAAGAAGATTCTCAAAGAAAAACATCAACGGAACCTCTTGAAAGCAATTCAATTATTAACGCTCCTTGCATAAGCGATCCTACCGGTCTTTTCTCTGCCGAAAATGGTCGATTAAAACGGATTTAAAAAAATGTAATCCGAATTGATCGGGATTTCTGCACCAAAAATGCGGTATCAAAACCGATTGAAAATAGTCAAATCGAATTTAGTACGCTTCAGGCGAG